TCTTTCTTTCTTTCTTTCTTTCTTTCTTTCTTTCTTTCTTTCTTTTTTTGAGACCCAGGTAGCTCAGGCTGGCCTGCAACTCTCTCTGTAGTAGAGGATGTTGAATTTGTGATCTTTCTGCTCCCACTCTTCCGAGGCTAGGATACAAGTGTGTACCACCATGCTGGTTCCTATTGTTTGTTTAAAGCTGATTCAGTGTTTTGTTTTGCTTTAATACGTATGTATGTGTGTCATACTTTCTCAGGAGCTATGCTAATGTCTGTCCCGTTACAATTTTAGTTTATGTGCTTCGGAGTGAAGTACTCTGTGGTTTATTGTGATAGGGTCTAACCCAGACTAGTATGGAACTCACAGTGTAGCACAGATTAGCTTTGAACTCGTTCGTGGTGATCCTCCTGCTCCCTGAATGTTGGGATTCCCAACATAGTCACCAAGTCCAGTTGTCCAGTTTAAGCTGCTTCTTTAGAGTTGTTGATTAACCCCCCCCCCCTTTTTTTTTTTTTCTTAAAGCACAGACTTTTCAGGGATCTGGGCCACTATGTAGCTTTTGCCTTTCAGGGCTACTAGATTAATACATGAAGTCACACCCATGTGGAGTGCTGATAAGTCCTTTAATTGATGGCTGCCACAGCTTTGCCATGTCTGTAGGACAGACCGGCCTGGTTTTTGGGCCTGGGCTTTGGTTATTTGATGGATTGACCTAGTTCCCAGGCAGCCACCTGTGTGGACTAAATACACCCATTTCGTCTCCATTCTGAAGGATGTGCTGAAAGCTGCCTTGGACAGTGAGAAAAGCAAACATGGAAACCTGTTCTAGGATCACCTTACATCATCAGATACCCGCTTCCCACCCCCAGCTTCCTGACTTTCCCTAATTACTCATGCCGGTGACGAGGGCTCATGTGGGCCATCCCAGGAAGGAGACCTAGTGGCTGCCATTCTGTTCTTGTCTCTGTGTCTCCCGAGGAGTGTAGGTGGTGAGGTCACAGGCTAAGCCAGGCCATTTAAGGAAAGCTGCCTCAGCTTCAGCGTGGCCCTCTCCGCCAGGTGGATATGGAAATCCCTGTTTACTCTCTGGGGCTTTTTATTGGCTGAAATGTTCACCTTGGTATCTGTTACACATTCCCTTCCAAGAGCAGCCCTAGATAAGCCAGGTGTGGAGACAATCAGCTCTTGAAATCTCCCAGAAGCTGCCAAACCTCTAAAACCAGCAAGAGACACCCATCATAGTCCAGACTCAGCCATTTGGGGTTTTATTCTGCCTCGCCCTGATCTCTTTTTGGGGCGTAAAGATTTCCGAGGAGAAGAATGAAATCAGTATAGCAGGTCATTGAGAAAGTATAGAAAGGCTCAGGTGGAACTTCAGTAGCTGTTACCTATGTGACTTTACATAAATAAGTCAGTTTACTACTGTGAGACTCAGTTTACCCATTTGTTGAGTGTGAGAAATCATATATATTTGTTGTGTTATATGCATTAATGCATATTTGATTCGTAAACATCTGGTGCTAGCTGGAGTATGGGTTTCTGGTTGTCCACATTGAGTTACAGTTTTATGCTAGCACTAGGCTAGACTATGGGGCTGAAGCAATGAATAAAACTTACATGGCTGAACACAAATATGGGACGGGGAGGAATGCATGAATATAAAGAAGGCAGACTTAAGAAGGGCCAGTGAGTTGGGTGTGGTGGTGCACTCAGGAGACAGAGCCAGGCAGATCTCTGAAGTCAAGGACAGTCAGGGGTACACAGAGATATCCTGTAGCACCTGCCACCAAGCCTGAAGACCTGAATTTGGTCCACAGTACCCACATGGTAGGAAAGAAAGGACTTCCAAGGGTTATTCTCTAACCTCCACACGCATAAGTGAGCATACACACACAATAAGTACTCTTTGTTTCTTTTAAAGTACAGTGGTGCATACATTTAATCCTAGCACTCAGAAGGCAGAGTTCAAGGCCAGCCTGATCTACATAGGAAGTTCGAGGCTCCGTAGTCGTATACAGTGATACTCTGTTTCAAAGGAAGATTAAAGGAAAGAAAGTGTTGAACCCCACACCCTGACCAAGGTCCTATAGTGAAACTCTGGCCCCTCCCCCATCACTGCCTTTACCAAATTCAGTTCCCCTCTAGGACCCACATCCTGATAGCCAGGGCAAAACTGTTTGTAAAGATAAAAACAGCCTTGTCTGGA